GCTGTGCCTGATTTTGGAGTGGGCCAGGAATCGAACCTGGGCCTCCCGTGGCCTCAGCCTGCTGAGCGGCAGTGTCTGGCATGGGCTACCACACCAAGAGGTCCTGTGGCCAGTCCAGCAGATGGCATGGAGGGGAAAGCACTGGATCCCACGGGCCAACTACACGGCTTGAGTTCCAGACTGGACGGCCTGAAAAACACGCCAGGCGTGAGTGCGTGCCCAAAATCCCAGGGGAGAATGGAGGAGGGAGTGTGGCGTGGCCACCCCGCTGGGGAGCGAGCTCTTTCTCTTTCCCCCTTTCCCTGTCTCTGTCTTTGGCGAGCACACGCGCCCTATGGCAAACATTGAAAAAAAAGCCCAGTGATCTCTGCACAGGTCAGAAGAGGTCAGCTCCATCCTTTACTGGAACGAAACCTTCTCTCTGCTTTGACTAACGTCTGCCTTTGCTCATCTTTGATAACTGAATGAGTGCCCCTCCTCCTGTGACCCCCAAATCTTGGTCATCTTTCAGCCTCCCGAAATCCCTGATGAATCCAACCCTCATCAATTTCTACTACTATGGCCTCTCCCATCACGGAGCTGGCCCTGCCGACCCCATGGCTGAGGCGGTCTGCACGGCCTGGCGTGCCTTCTCTGGGAGGTGGTCCTGGCTCCGAAGCTGTCTGCACTGCGGTGAGAGGAGGCACCTGGTCGTCTTGGGTGGTGCCCAGTGTAAGCACTGCCGTAGAGACTGCTCACTTCCTATGGGTGACCCAAACACGGGAAACTGGTAACATGCAGACCTTGTCATTTCAATTAAAAACTGTAAAACAGGGTTGGCCTCACCTGTGTCTTAGGATCACAGACGTGGACTCAACAAAGACATGAGTTATTAGCGGCCATGAGGGAGAGTACATGGGAGGACCACAGGGAGACCAGGCCCGCCCGGAGAAGGTCAGACGGCTCTTTGGTGTGCTTCTGGTGGGAAAGGCTAATTGATTGTTTAGTTTGAGAGAACTCAAGTGTTCTTTTGTTTAAAATCGAAGCTAGATAATATAAAAGTGTGATTTGGTCTTTCCTAAATCTCCCCTTTTCAGATAAACGGTGTCAGTGGGGTTTGGCTGTAATTTTATGTAAAGTCGCTAAATAATTCGAGCTTCTGTGGCTAGGTTTTCGTCGTTGTTGCTTCTTAGAATTTATATATTTCTTCCCTGAGAAAGAGAAAGAGACAGGCACCCCTCCCCGCCACAGTCTTCACACTGCCCCGATCACTGGTGGGAGTGCTCAGAGGGCCGGGCATGCAAACCAAGCCCTCTCCCGTTGTGTTCGTGCCCACCGGGGCCCCAGGAGGTCTGGGTGTTCAGACTCCCTACCTGCACTGAAGGGGGATGGTGAACGTCATTTGCCCGGACTGCTCTGGTTAGCCCTGGAAATCCTGCAGACAGGCATCTCCTCCCGGGTACGAAAGGAGCCCCAGGTTTATGCAGCGGGTACGGGAGATGGGGAAAGGTATAAACCCACGTGGAATCACCCCCTCCCCACGACCTGAAGAAACACTTCGGTTCAGCGGTGAGTGGATGCGTCTTGGACTACCGCCAAGAGAGCTACTGCTGCCCCTGCAGAGCTACTGCTGCCCCTCCCCGGCCGGTTACTGACCGGCAGTGACGACCTGCAGCTGCCACTCCTCACCCTCTGCGCGTCACTGGGGACCACGCCACGCGAGCGCACACCCCAGTGCATTCTGAGTGTGCCAACGGCCTGATTTTGACTTGGCCTGTGGGTGGACTGCCGTGCCCTGTATTGAGATAGTACTAGTTTTGATTTTAATACCATGCATATTGTAATCATTCTTTTTATTTATTCATTCATTTCTTTCTTTCTTTTTTTTTTTTTTGAGAGGTTTTTGCTATAGGGCACATACGCTTGATAAAAAGAGACAAAGAGACAGAAAGCGAGAAATCACCCCCCCAAGAGGGGATAGCCATGCCACAATCCTTTCTCCTCCATTCTCCTCTTGGGATCTTGGGTGTGCACACACGTTCGCCTGGCATGAGTTTAAGTCACCGGATCTGGGACTCGAACTGCAGTCAATTACATGGGAGTTCAGTGATATAGCCATTATGCTAACTGCTGGGCCCTCATTTATTTCTTTAATTTTGTGATCATACGAGTAAAAAAAATATATCTATTTATTTATTTATTTATTTCCATTTGTTATTGGTCAGAGAGAGAGCGAGAAAGGGAAAGCGAGAAAGCAAGCCACCAGGTCAGAGATTCAAACCGCGGTTGGCCATGTGGGAATCTAGCGCCCTTAACCATCATGCCACCTGCTGGCCCCTTCTCAGAGTGATCACACCTTCTAAGAGTCTGGATAACGGAAACGAGAACGGGTACCAACCAGCGCCAGCACGCTGCAGGCATCTCCGCAGACACGCACCACGACTGGGTCAGCGTGTTCGGCACGGCAGACATGGAAGAATGTGGGATTCACCTGGTGGAGAAGAGGGTGTGAGAGTGCACATGGGGACTGAGTCCAGCCCGGCCTCAGACAGGCAAGCCCTCTTAAATCAACCCGAGTTTTATCCTCTCGAAAAGACACTTCTCAGTTGGCAGGAGCGGCTGCTCCATCAGCTAGGGCAGAGCAGAGTGAGGGTGCGTCACCGTCTCCCTGACTGTTCTCTGAGGCCGCATGAACTTACATTTCCTGATTCGGAGTTTTCAGGTAAAAACTTGGGGTGGGGCCAGCCCGGGGCGTGGTGGTTGAGGTGCTGGACTCCCACATGGCCAATGTTGTTTCTGATTTGGCAGCTTGAAATCACAGGAGAAGGAACTGTGGCATGGTCATCTCTTCGGGGGGGAGGGAGTGAGTTCTCACTATCTCCCGCTCTGTCTCTGTCTCTCTCCAGCAAGCGCACATGCCCTATGACAAAAACCTAAAAAGAAAAAAAGAAAGTCTGAGGATGAACAGAAGGGGAAACCTTGATGACAGAGGTACACTCCCTGCGGCGTACCACTGGCTCTGTCAGTTACCACGGGTGCCTTCTGCGCGACATCGAGTAGTATACTGAATCGTCGCAGCCACAAGCACGTACTCCCCCTAGTTCTGAAGTACTTTGATTTGAAAATGAGAGTTCTATGAAGTTTCCCTGATTTTTACAAAGTTTGTTTGTTTGTTTGTTTTAGAGAGAGATTTTTGCTATAGGGTGCATACACTCATGGGAGAGACAGAAAGAGAGAGGCAGACAGACAGAAAGTGAGAAGTCACCCCCCCAGGGGAAATGGCCATGTCACAATCCCTTCTCCTCCATTCTCCTCTCGGGATCTTGGACATGCATGCACACACACACACACACACACACACACACACCTGGTGTGAGCTTAAGTCACCGGGTCTGGGACTCAAACCACAGTCAACTACATGGGTTCAAGCAATGTAACTGTGACACTATCAAAGACTTTAATAAAATTGCAGAAAACAGTTGTCAACTCCTAGTCCCAATATAAGCAGCATTTTGCTCACCCACGCCTGCACTTGGCAGAGTGCATGTCGTTTTGGAAGACTCTTACCTACACGTTTCTTAACAAAGACAAGGAAAAGCTCTTACTGCTCAAATCCTGCACACCATGATGACCCTGCTTAACAGCGCTGTGGGGGGCTTACTGCGATACTGAAGCTTTTTTCTTCACAATGAAAGTTTTGGTCATTTTTTCCGTTTTCTCAAAATGTGCAGAAGCACTTGATAAAATGCTTGGCTGACGATGCAAGGAGACAGGCTCCTTCGACACGTGGCTACATCATCGTCAGTCGTGATGGACAGACGCAAGGCCCTGACTGGCAGCAGCTGGTCACCAAACGAGCCCGCAAACGCGCTGGAGAGCTGGGCGCCAGCTCCGAGTCTGAAGCCTGCTCTCCCTACGAAGTAGAATCCCAGGGACTCTGTGCTCGAACACTGTCCCTGCGAGGGTACTTAGCTAGGTGTCATCGGCAGACTGGCCCTAGGATTCAGTGTAATGGGAGTTTGAGAAGAGCACAGTTACCAGTCAAAGTAAAATTTACATTTGAATGTACTCGGTTTTATCATTACATAAAAAATGTAGGACAGAGAGCCAGCAGGTGGTAGGGTGGTTAAAGACGCTGGACTCCCACGTGGCCAACCAAAGTTCTAGTCCCGGACTCGGTGACTTGCTTTCTTACTTTCTCTCTCACTCTGTCTCTGGTCAAATCGAAAAATAATGATAATAAATAAACAAATAATTCTTTAAAAAATGTCTTAAAGGAAACAAAGAGCAAAGTACTACATCACAGCACAGAAAGAAACATGCTACTTTTATTTTAAATTTTATCTTACTGAATCATTGCGTGTCTTTACAGCATACAGCATGGGTTCTCAAAGCATAAATTAAATATATTGTTTTCAATTAAATAGAGCGAATGATCTGTTTAACTGGCCCAAGTGTATTTATGTTCTCTCTTTTTCTTTTTAAGTTTTGCTACAGGGCACGTGCACTCACCGGAGAGAGAGTGAAAAGCACCCCCTGAGGGACTGACCATCATGCCATCCCTTCTCATCCAGGCTCCTCTAGGGATTTTGGGCACACACATGCACACACGCACACGTGCACACACACACACACACGCACCCAGCATGTTTCTGAAATCACTGGGTCTAGGACTCGAACCATGCAGTCAGTCACGTGGGACCTAGCCAGCATAACCTCCCCACCACCTGCTGGCCCCTATGCTCTCCCTTTAAAAAGTCTTCATTTTAAGATATACAGAAATGACCTAAAATATAAATATTCACTAGTTTAAAGAGAACTAAATTACTTTATCAGAGGATATAACATTATTAAAATAGTTGTACTTTTCTCACACATATTGCTAGTTTAATTAGTTCTGCTATCCGCTCCACTAATTTCCAGTTAATTCATCCCATTGTTTATTTGTTTTAGTAATGGCAATTATACAGCAGAAAAGCAAATAATACAGAACAGCATATCATTCAAATAAACACCCGCTTTTCAGATCTTTTCGTTAAGTAATGACACATACGCGCGTACGTACGATCTGTTCTTTGTGATGCGCTTTTGACTGTGCGGCTCAGACTGGGAGTGGACTGTGGTATGAAGCCTTGCTGAATATTTGTGCCTGACTCTGTCTCTCTGAAAAAACAAATACATAAACTTCTAATTTTTTTAAAAAAATTGCTAGAGGTTGTGTGTACTTGCCAATGAGACACAGAGAAAAGAGAGAGAGAGAGAAAGTGAAAAAGAGCCCCTCCATGGGGGATGGTCACACTGTAACCCTCTCTCCTTCATTTTCCTTTTGGCATTCTGAGCACACACGCACACGTGCCTTGAGTGGTTCTTTTTTTTTTTTTGGAGAGGTTTTTGCTATAGGGCACGTGCACTCGACAGACAGAGACAGACAGAGAGACAGAAAATGAGAAATCACCCCCCAGGGGGATGGCCATGCCGCAATCCCTTCTCCTCCATTCTCCTCTTGGGATCTTGGGTGCACACGTGCCTGGCGTGAGTTTTAAGCCACCGGGTCTGGGACTCAAACCGTGGTCGACTACATGGGAGTCCAGCGACATAGCCATTACGCTAACTGCTGGTCCCCCTTGAGTGGTTCTTAAGCAACTGGTCCAAGGCTTGAACCGCAGTCAGCGGTGGGATGCAGCAGCCTCAACCACTATGCCAACAATGGCCCGTAAATAAGTAAACTTCTTTATGCTTTGCTGGAGCACCTTAAATAGCCAATAACCAGGACAAGAGAAAAACGAGTATGGAAATACTGACTCGTTCTCTACCTAACGACGTGCCGTTTCACTATGAATCTGTGTTAACCGAGACACGCGTTTTCATTCTTTTTCTCTTGCGATAGCACATGCAAACGTGTACAGAGGAGAGATATCCTTGACAGGTCTCGTCACACTGTGACCCCTTGTCCCGGCTCTCTGGCTCCTAGGATCTCGGGTGCCTCTGTGTGCACCTGGCCCATCTTCACCTGACCAGAGCCGAACCTGTGGTCAGCAACATGGTTTCTAGTCTCCCAGGGCATTGGAGTTACCGCTCTGTGACAGCACTGGGTCTGGCCATGTCACTTCTAATCACCAATCTGTCATTTGCTTCTATTAACTGCTGTGGTTTGTTTTTGTTTTGAGAGATTTTTCCTATAGGGTATGTGTGTGTGCTAGAGAGACAGAGAGAAACAGAGAGACAAAAGTGAGAATTCACCCCCCCCTGGGGGGATAGCCATGCAGCAATCCCTTCTCCTCCATTCTCTTTTCCGGATTTTGGGCATGCATGCACTAGCACCCAGGGTGAGTTTCAAGACACCGGGTCTGGGACTTGAACGATGGTCAACTACATGGGAGTCCAGCGCCTTAACCACTATGCCACCTACTGGCCTCTCAATTACTGTATTTTTCAAAAAACAAAGTCATGTTTATATTAGTAGCAAGACACAATTCAAACTTCTGGTGATAAAGCCATTATTCCTAAGTCGGGGTCAATATAAACCGCTACCAGAAAAAGTTGAGAAAATTCCAATTATAGAGGAATCGTCAAGGGCACAAAACCAAGACAACAGGACTTTTAAAAAGGTTCATGTGTACGCTCAAGATGGCGCATCTACAGCACAGAGCTTTCACGTGCGCCTCAGCAGCGTGAAGTCCAACACCTGAGCGAGCCCGCTCTGCTTCCCCGTGTTCTGACCACGCGCCCTCTCAAGCACGATTTAAATAAATCTGATCAGGCTACAAGTTGATGAGATTATTTTCCTGCTTCATGTGTCTAATTTTCAAGGTTGTTGGGCTGACAAAGTCACTGTGAAAAACCACAAACTTATATCAGCAGAATAAAGGCAAGAAATTCAAAGAAAGTGAAAAACGTTCGGCTGAGAATATGGTTTTCCCAAGTAGTGTGACCATAGTTTCTCAGAACAGATATTACTGGCACATAAAAGTTAAGAAGCTGGGTCCAGCAGGTGGTGTGGTAGTTAAGGCTCTGGACTCGCACATAGCCAACTGCAATTCAAGTCCTGGACCTGGTGGCTTGCTTTCTCACGTTCCCTCTCTGTCTCTCTGTTTCTCTTTGGTGAGTGCATGTGTCTCATAGCAAATTAAACAATAATAATAAAAACAAATAATTCCTTTTTTAAAAATAAAGGATCTAAGATAGGGACCAGCAGGTGGTATGGTGGTTAAGGTGCTGGACTCCTACAGGGCTAACTGCGGTTCAAGTCCGGGACCTGGTGCCTTACTTTCTCAGTTTCCCTCTGTATCTCTCTGGGGAGTGCATGTGCCCTATATCAAATTAAAAATAATAATAATAAAAAACTTTAAAAAAAAAAGGACTCTAAGATGTATACTCAAATTCTAATTCAAAAAGCACCAATGCACACACTCCCTAAGCACTGAACGGTAGAGCTGTACACACCACGGCGTGGTCCAGGCTGTGGCCTGTGCCCTCCATACGGCAGCTGGAGAAGGCTACTACAAGCCTTCCCTAAACTAGCGGGGGTCGATAAGTATTAAAAAACAAATTAAAATAGTGGGCCAGCCAGGTGGCGTGGGGATAAAGCAACTGCATCTTACGTGGCTGGCTGTGTGGTTCAAGTCCCAGACCCTGCAGCTGGAAAAACAGCCCAGGTGTGCATGTGTGCCCCAAATCTGGAGAGGAGGATGGAGGAGAAGGAATGTGCCACACGATCCCCTCTGGGGGGAGGGTACTTTCTCACTTTTCCTTCTCTCTCTCTCTCTCCTGGTGAGCGCACATGCCCTACAAGAGAAAGAAAAAGGCAAAGAATTGAAATACTTACCAATAAGTCAGAGGCAATCAAAATACGACCTGTCCCTCCTCAGAATTCCCTCCTGGTGTTCTTCTTCCTTCTGTCATCATCTGCAAAACATTAACAAGCCTAATTCTCAAGAGTCACTTGCAAACCAGTGCTCAGATGGTGAGCGTGTGTGAGACCAGACGGCCCGCGGCACGAGCACCACAGCACGCAGGGCTGGGAAGGCGGCAGTCTTGCTGTGGCAGAGGGCAGACAGCGCGGCACTGCACACTGCACTGGAGCTGGGCCCTGCCTCGGCTTACGGAGGAAATGCTGCATGGTTACAGCTATTAGCAACCAGGGAAGGGCAGCACTCACCCCATGGGAAGGGGAACCCGCCCACACGTTCTCTCAGAAGCTGGCGACCCCTTGCCCGTGCTCCACAGCAGCCCGACGGGTCAGTCTCCCACCCGCAACCCACGGCCTCCTTCCCTTCAGGGTTTCAGAGGAGAAAGTGTTCATTCATATGAAAGCTGAAATAAAAACGTCATCTGATTTGTAGCTCTCATCCCTACCACTGGTAGCGATTATTTATTCATTCAATTAATTCGGCTTGAATGCAGATATGATTGTACAAAGTTTGTTTAGTTTCTTGCTATGGGAACTGTCTGCTCACGAGAGAGAGAGAGAGAGACAGAGAGGAGAGAGAGAGAGGAGAGAGAGAGAGAGAGGAGAGGAAAGTGAGAAATTACCCCCCGGGAGACAGACACGCAGCAATCCCTTCTCCGGTCTCCTCTCAGGATTTTGGGCATGCACGCACACGCAGCTGGCGTGAGTTTCAAGCCACTGGGCTGGGACTCCCACTGTCTAGTGGGCCATGTGCGGGCCATTACCTTAACCTCCGTGCCACTCACTGGCCCCATCTCAGTTTTGTTTTATCTGGTACAGTTGTTTTTTGGTTTTTGTTTTTTTTTCTCCTGTTAGCTTTATTAGAAATATAAAGACATGATAGTAGTTTATGCAATTTTAGCACAGAGCTTAAATAAAAAGATAAAAAATAAAACAGTGGCTACAGTTTTTATGAATACCAATTAGAAAAACATTACCCTCTTTCGAAATTATTATAAAACAGTGATCCTTTCAAGGGCCAATTCTTTCTTCTTGCCCAGAATTTGAAATGAATCTCTCACAAACCAGATAGCCTCCAACACAATGGTTAGCCTGGAAGCAGGAGGGAACGAACCTTTAAAGAGAGAACATGACTAGATATGTGGGCAAATCCACAAAGCATAGGTAGCCGTTTCGTAACACTTAGAGGAATAGTGTTTGAGACCAAGCGTCCCTGTCTTACTATAAACTGAGTTAGACAGAGATTGTGGGAGACAGTTGCTTTCGGCAGGGGAGAGGACAACACAGCACTTCACAGCCATATCGAAACCACCCAACCTGCCAGTTAAAGTCGAGTGCAGGTCTAAACGCCTGTATTTAATTTCTAGTAAACCTATGGATTTGATTCTCCATCCCTCGACTCAAGATTTTTACCTATTTCATCCCAAGCAAACACATTGATCCGTTTTAGAAAAAATTAAACTTTTTAAGAATTATTTATTTAATTGTATTAATTATTATCATTATTTTTAAGTTTGCTATAGGGCATGTGCATTCTCAGAGAGAGAGAGAGAGAAAGAGAGAGAGAGAGAGAGAGGGGAAGTGAGAAAACAAGCTGCCAGGTCCAGGACTCAAATGGTGTTGGCCCTGTAGAAGTCCAGCGCCTTAACCACTATGCCACCTGCTGGCCCCAGTTTTAGAAAGTTAAAAAAAAATTTAGTTGGGACCAGCAGTTGGTGTAATGGCTATGTCACTGGACTCCCATGTAGTCAACCGCGGTTCAAGTCCCGGACCTGGTGGCTTGCTTTCTCACTTTTTCTCTCTCTCACTCTGTCTCTCTCTAATCAAATGAAAAATAAATAAAGTTAAATAAAAATTCTTTAAAAAATAAAGTGTGAGGTTGGCATAGTGACCTCCTTCCAAACAGCACAGTATGTAATGAGAGCAGGAGCAGGGTAACTTTCCAGCAGAGAAAGTTCAGCCAAGTAATTAAAACCAACATCAGCAGTCGCCATTCTTTTATTCATTTCTTTCAAAGTTTTGCTATAGGGGTCTGTGTGCCTCCCAGAGACAGAGAGGGGAGAGAGGGAGGAAAAGAGAGAGGGAAAGAAACTGGGAAAGTGAGAAACTACCCCTGGAGGAATGGCCACATCGCAGTCCTTCTCCTCTACTCTCCTCGTGGGTTTTGGGCATGCACATACATGCTCCTGGCGTGATTTTCAGGCCCTTGGGTCTGGGACTGAACTGTGCAGTTGGCCACGAGGGATCTAGCCCCCTTATGCATCATGCCGGCAGCTGGCCTAGCAGTCATAATTCTTGACACAATTGATGAGGATGTCATTTGGTATCAATAGTCTTCCTCCCAAAAGTTCCAAATATCAGTCTAATATTGAGAAAAACACCAGGATAATTCTAATAGCCGACCAAAATTGGTAATTCTAATACTCCTCAAAATTGTCAAGGTCATCAAAACTAGGACTTTCTGAGACACGGCGGCAGCCTGAGTCTCTAAAGAGACATGACAACTAAAACATAATGGTCCTAGAATGGGAACAGTGCATTAGGTAAAAGTGAGGGAATTCCGCGTAAATTCTGGACTGCAGTTGGCGATAATGCCTCAGTGCTGATGAAGGAGACCGTACTGTAACTGTACCATAAATTTACCACACCAATATGTCAGTAACAGGGAACCTAGATGCAAGGCATACAGGAATGCTCAGTACTGGCCTTCTGTAAATCTGAAACTATCCTAAAAATTCTATTTAAAAACGTAGGGCTGCATGAGAGAGGGAGAGAGCGGTAAGGACCCTCAGCAGTTGTGTCAGGCCGTGAGTGTCACCCCCTCTGGGTGCCCCGGGGTGCTCAGGATTTTTCAGATCAGCCCAGGGAGCCGAACCTGCACTTGACCATGTGGTTTCCAGGACAGCAGTCAGTACATGCAGGCTGTGCCACCAAGCCACACCATAAAGACGACTTTTTAAAAAAGTCTTACTATTGGGGCCAGCAGTTAGCGTAATGGCTATGTCGCTGGACTCCCATGTAGTTGACCACGGTTCGAGTCCTGGACCTGGTGGCTTAAACTCACGCCAGGTGTGTGTGCGTGTGTGCCCAAGATCCCGAGAGGAGAATGGAGGGGAAGGGATTGCGGTGTGGCCATCCCCCCTGGGGGGTGATTTCTCACTTTCTATCTGTCTGTCTGTCTCTGTCTTTCTGGTGAGTGCACACACCCTATAGCAAAAAAAAAAAAAAAAAAAAACTAAAAACTCTTACATTCGGGGCCAGCAAGGAGCATGATAGTTAAGGAACTGGGCTCCCACATGTCCAACTGTAGTTCGAGTCCCAGACCTGACGGCTTGCTTTCTCACTTTCTCTCTCTCTCTCTCTCTTTTTCTCTGGTGAGCACATATGCCTTACAGCAAACTTTAAAACAATAATAATAATAAAATAATTAAATTAAATAAGTAATTCAAAAAAATAAAAGCCAAATTCTTATATCCAGACACCCACACGCAGCAACTGGCTCAGTGAGGCAAATTATCCCCCTCCCATATCCCAAATATCACTGGTTTTAAAATGCCCCAAAGGGAACCAGCAGGTGGCGTGGTGGCTAAGGTACTACATTCTCCCACATGGCCGACCACGGTTCAAGTCCTGGCCTCATGGCTTGCTGTCTCACTTTCCCTCTCTCTGTCTCTCTTTAGTTGAATTAAAATAAATGAGTGAATGAATAAAATTAAATAAATCATTCTTTTTTTTTCTTTTGGAGATGTTTTTGCTATAGGGCGCGTGCGCTCGCCAGACAGACAGAGAGAGACAGAGAGATGGAAAGCGAGAAATCACTCCCCAGGGGGGAGGGCCATGCTGCAATCCCCTCTCCTCCATTCCCCGACCATCAGGATCTTGGGCACGCACGCACAAGCACCCGGTGTGAGTTTAAACCACTGGGTCCGGGACGCGAACCGCGGTCGGCTACGTGGGAGTCCAGCGACATAGCCATTATGCTAACTGCTGGTCCCAATAAATCATTCTTTAAAAATAAACAAAAGAAAAAAAAAATGCCCTAAGGAAAATACAGCAATACTGACAAAAATATCTTTTATTTAACATATCAAAACTCCTCCATAGATCAGTAATATTACATGTTGCAGCAGCCTGCATTTTTAAATTCAATTAGAGTACCGATTCCACAAGGCAGACATGACAAATTGCTCCCATACAGTCTTCAAGGGCCAGCATCAACCTTTGAATCTAAATATCAAAAGTCTAAACTATTACGTTGTAGAAGACAGACTTCAATGACTGAATTCAAAGCACATGGCTAAATGCTGAGCGGT